CCAAGAAGGGATTTTCTTTTTCCCAGGAGGAATTTTCCTTTTTCCAGAAAGGATTTTCCTTTTCCCAGGAGGAATTTTCCTTTTTCCAGAAGGATTTCCCTCCTCCCAGAAATTATTTTTATTTTTCCAGAAGGATTTTCCTTTTTCCAGAACGGATTTCCCTCCTCCCAGAAAGGATTTTCCTCCTTCCAGAAGGGATTTTCATTTTTCCAGAATGGATTTTTCTCTTCTCAGGATGGGATTCCCTCCTCCTAGAAAGGATTTTCCTTTCTCCAAAAGGGATTTTCCTTTATCCAGAAGGGATTTTCATTTTCCAGAAGGGATTTTCCTTTTTCCAGAAGGGATTTTCATTTTTCCAGAATGGATTTCCCTCCTCCGTGAAAGGATTTTCCTTTTTCCAGAAGGAATTTTCCTTTTTCCAGAAGGGATTTTCCTTTCCCAGGAGGGATTTTCCTTTTCCAGAAGGGATTTTCCTTTTCCCAGGAGAGATTTCCCTTTTTCCAGGAGGGATTTTCCTTTTCCAGGAGGGATTTTCCTTTTTCCAGAAGGGATTTTCCTTTTTCCAGGAGGGATTTTCCTTTTTCCAGAAGGAATTTTCCTTTTTCCAGAAGGGATTTTCCTTTTTCCAGGAGGGATTTCCCCACTCCCAGCCGGAGGAGGAGAGAATTCCCAACAGATCCTGGCTGATCATTTCTGTTCCCATCCCTCAGGATCTCCCCCTCTCCTGGGATTCCCAAAATCCCCTTGCCAGTCCCTACTCCAAGGTTACTCCAAGGTTACTCCAAGGTTACTCCAAGGAGGAGCTCAGCTTCTCCCAAGGCAGAAATATCCAAGGAGAATCCGTAAGAAGAGGAGGAATTCCAGAGGCTGCACCAAAAGCTGGAATTCTCCCACATTTTGGCTCTTCAGCATTAAATTCCCCAAATTCCCTCTCCTCGGGAATTCTCCCGGCTGTTCTGGCTCTGGGAGTGACTCTCCAGTTTCTCGAGGAGCAATTCCAGCTCTGATTGCTCCAATCCCAGCAAATCCGGGAGAATCCGGCGGGATTTTCCCGTTTTAAGGCACAGGGAGCCTTTGGTGGAGGGATTTAATTCGGGTTAAGACACACAAAAAAAGCAGCAAAAAGCTCATTTCACACCGGGATCCTTCCCACAAGGCACATGCGGCACCCCGAGGGGGGATCCTGCATTTTCCTGCTCCAAAAATTGTGGGGAAAGGATCAGATCTGCTCGGGGTCACCCCCAAAACCAGACCTGGGGCATGGCACAGCTCCAGGGGCACATTCCAGCCCCAGAGATCCCAAAAATCCCTCCTTGGCTGCCCAAGGATGGGATTTGGTTGGGGAAGGATGGAGTTTATCCCTGGATTCAAATGGGAAATGGGCCCTGGAGTTGGAATTTGCACATCCAGGATCCCAAAAATCCCTTGGGAACTCCCAGAGGAGCAGCTGACAGATGGAATTTGGTTGGGGAAGGATGGAATTTATCCCTGGATTCAAATGGGAAATGGACCCTGGAATTTGAACATCCACAATCCCCAAATCCCTTCAAATTCCCAAAATGAAATTTGGTTGGGGAAGGATGGAGTTTATCCCTGGATTCAAATGGGAAATGGACCCTGGAATTTGAAAATCCAGGATCCCAAAATCCCTCCAAATCTTCCAAGTAAGAGGTTAAAGCATGGAATTTGCTTTGGAAGAGCCATTCCCAAATGGGAAATGGATCCTGTTACTCAAATTTGCACTTCCAGGATCCCAAAATTCTCTCCTGATCTCCCAAGGGAGCAGTTAAAGGATGGAATTTGCTTTGGGAAGAGCAATTCCCATTGGGGCATGGACCCTGGAACTGGAATTTGCACATCCAGGATTCCAAAATCCCTTGGGAACTCCCAGAGGAGCAGCTGAAGGATGGAATTTGGTTTGGAAAACCATTCCCAGCTGGAGCAGGGAGGCTTCCACCCTTCCCACTCAGCATTCCAAGCAGGAAAACCAAACTCGGGGAATGAGGAGCTCCTGCAGGTCGGGATTTCCCTCTCCAGGTGGGATTTTCCCTCTCCAGGTTTGGTTTTCCCTCTCCAGGTGGGATTTTGTCCCTCCAGGTGGGATTTTGTCCCTCCAGGTGGGATTTTTGTCCCTCCAGGTGGGATTTTGTCCTTCCAGGTGGGATTTTGTCCCTCCAGGTGGGATTTTTGTCCCTCCAGGTCAGGTTTTCCCTCTCCAGGTGGGATTTTGTCCCTCCAGGTGGGATTTTCGTCCCTCCAGGTCAGGTTTTCCCTCTCCAGGTGGGATTTTTGTCCCTCCAGGTGGGATTTTGTCCCTCCAGGTGGGATTTTTGTCCCTCCAGGTTGGGATTTTCATCCCTCCAGGTGGGATTTTGTCCCTCCAGGTGGGATTTTGTCCCTCCAGGTGGGATTTTGTCCCTCCAGGTTGGGATTTTGTCCCTCCAGGTGGGATTTTCATCCCTCCAGGTGGGATTTTCGTCCCTCCAGGTGGGATTTTTGTCCCTCAGGTGGGATTTTCGTCCCTCCTGGACAGGGCTGAGCAGCAGGCAGGGCTGGGAGGTGCCTTTGGATCTGCACTGGGAATTGCCCAAGGATTTGGGGCTGTTTCTGGAGCTGCCAGGGACTCTGTAAACAGCAGCTCCAGGATTTCCCTTTCCTGGGAGCAGGAAACCCCCCGGGGATCCCAGGAGAGGGCCTGGAATGGGATCAGGGCTTCAGAGAGGAAAATTGGGAATAAACTCCACTGGTCAGCTGTCCCACCCCATAAAAATGCACCTTTAGCAAGTTTCCATTGTAAAATCAGATTGGTTAAAAATCTACATTTTCAAGAGTTACCAAAAAAAAATAAAAATGGAATTGAGATTTGGGATTTTGGGATGCCCCGCGTGTTCCCAAAGCCATGTCCCCATTCCTTGTCCCCTCAAGGGTTTCCAAGTACCTTGACACCCAGAGGAGGAGCCAGGCCACCACCTGGGAAATTAAAGCCAATCTGGCCATAAAATCAGTGATTTTGGGTCTTCCTCACAGGAGGGAAGAACTGAGCCCTTTTTAAACAGCTTTGCACCCAGCTGTAAAAGCATTTTAAAACCACCCAACTGCCTACATAGAAAAATAAAGGATAAACATTATCCAGCTATTTTATATTTATATAAAATTAACTTCTGTGCCAGGACGTTTTTGTTTCTCTGCTGTAAAAAATAAAAAAAAAAATAAAAAAAAACCAGTTTAGGTTGGATAACCTAAACCTTCGGCAAGGAGTAAACTCCATCTTCCATCTTATTTCCAGAAAAAAAGAGAAGCTTGTGATTTCACTGCTTCCAAATAAAGTTATTAAATAGATATATATTAATATCAAAGTCTGTATAAACTCTCTTTTTGTTGTTGTTTGAGGAAGAAAAAGGGGCACCCAGTGACCGGGAATCACAGGGGACACTGAGTGACTGGGAATTCCGGGGACACTGTGGGAATTCCTGGGACACTGTGGGAATCCCAGGGGACACTGAGTGACCGGGAATTCTGGGGACACTGTGGGAATTCCTGGGACACTGTGGGAATCCCCAGGGACACTGAGTGACCAGGAATTCCTGGGGACACTGTGGGAATTCCTGGGACACTGTGGGAATCCCCAGGGACACTGAGTGACCAGGAATTCCTGGGGACACTGTGGGAATCCCCAGGGACACTGAGTGACCAGGAATTCCTGGGGACACTGTGGGAATCCCCGGGGACACTGAGTGACCAGGAATTCCTGGGGACACTGTGGGAATCCCAGGGACACCGTGGGAATCCTTGGGGACACTGAGTGACAGGGAATCCCTGGGGACACTGTGGGAATTCCTGGGGACACTATGGGAATCCCCAGGGACACTGAGTGACTGGGAATTCTGGGGACACTGTGGGAATTCCTGGGACACTGTGGGAATCCCAGGGACACCGTGGGAATCCCCAGGGACACTGAGTGACCAGGAATTCCTGGGGACACTGTGGAATCCCCAGGGACACTGAGTGACAGGGACACTCGGTGACAGGGAATCCCCGGAATCCCCAGGGACACTCGGTGACAGGGAATCCCCGGAATCCCCAGGGACACTCGGTGACCAGGAATCCCCAGGGACACTGTGGAAATCCCTGGGAACACTTGGTGACCAGGAATCACGGAGGACACTCAGTGACAGGGAATCCATGGAATCCCTGGGGACACTTGGTGACCAGGAATCACAGAGGACACTCAGTGACATGGAATCCATGGAATCCCTGGGGACACCGAGTGACCAGGAATCCCTGGGGACACTGAGTGACCGGGAATCCCCAGGGACACCATGGGAATGCCTGGGGACATTCAGTGATCAGGAATCCCTGGTGACCAGGAATCACCAGGGACAGTGTGAGAATCCCTGGGGACACCATGGGAATCCCTGGGAACACTCGGTGACTGGGAATCCCTGGGGACATTCAGTGACAGGGAATCCCCAGGGACATGCCATGGGAATGCCTGGGGATACTCAGTGACAGGGAATCCCCGGGGACACTTGGTGACAGGGAATCCCCGGGGACACTCAGTGACAGGGAATCCCCGGGGACACTCGGTGACAGGGAATCCCCGGAATCCCCGGGGACACTCAGTGACAGGGAATCCCCGGGGACACTCAGTGACAGGGAATCCCTGGAATCCCTGGAGACACTCAGTGACAGGGAATCCCCAGAATCCCCGGGGACACTCAGTGACAGGGAATCCCCGGAATTCCCAGGGACACTCAGTGACAGGGAATCCCCGGAATCCCCGGGGACACTCAGTGACAGGGAATCCCCGGGACACTCAGTGACAGGGAATCCCCGGAATCCCCGGGGACACTCAGTGACAGGGAATCCCCGGAATCCCCGGGGACACTCGGTGACCGAGCACCCCGGGAACCACAGGCAGGGAGATGTGGAGCCGTGAATCCAGCAGAATTCCAGCTGGGCTGGCTGGGAGGAGGCCGGGGGCGGCTCCCGCTCCTCTCTCACGAGGACGATTTCTTCTCCAGCGCGGCCTTGGTGAGGAAGTACTTGAAGAACTCGTACACGGACCAGGCGATGGCCGTGGAGGGCATCTGGTAAATGACCCGAGCCTGGACGCCTTTGAAGAAGCCGGGCAGCCCTCCCAGCTGGTACACGGTGCTGAAGGCGTTGGCCATGCCCGACAGGTGCCCCTTGATCTTGAGGGAGCTCAGGGCCGTGTTCTCCTGCGTGTTGAGCAGCGTCTTGCACACGTCCAGGGGCGTGGTGGCGGCGGCGGCCACGGCTCCGGCCACGGCGCCGGCCACGATGTGGGACTGGGGCTGGTAGTGGCGGTGGGGGTTCAGGTGCTCCTGCACCAGCTCGTAGGTGATGAAGTGGATGGCCTGGAAGGGCACGTTCATGGTCAGCTGCGTGGTGTAGCTGCGGTAGAAGGCTCCAAAGCCCTCGGTCCTCTGCACCGTCCGCACGCAGCCCAGCACCGACGTGTACGGAGAGTTGAACATCTGCAGCCTCTGCTTCACC